CTGCCAAATCGACCCGGACAACCGGATCTTGCCCCTCGGGCACTCATCCCCACACTATATTGCTATGTATTATTATTTTCATACTTCGTTTTTGCACAGGTCTGTAATGTGAGGGAGGGGTGTAAGGTAGGAAGATTCTGCAACATTGTGAAAAAAATGATTTACGGATTTAAGAACTTAGAAAAAAAAAAGTTAGTTACTAAAATGCTTCCAACTGAGACGACGAACCTCTTTGAAAGTACAACTGTGAGTAATGAACAAGATTACGCAGCAATACAAGAAGCGTGTATACCACCATCTGTGCGGGAGTTTTTTTTCTTACAACACTTACGCTAATTACAAGAATATCCGTTTACCTGGCCGTCATGGGGGTGAATGTGTTAACGGAAGTGATAGTATACAAAGATCGATATCGCTGTTACCAGGGGTATGTCGTCTCGCTCTCAGATTTGCAAACAATGTGGCTGAAAGAGCTAATATATATATAACAATTTGATCTGGTACACGTACAACGACTACACTGTGGCTGGATCCCGAAATGACTCATGTTTGTTATTTGTTTATTTTGAAGAAATTTGTTAGACAATTATTTACTCTGTGAGGTTAGAATATCATGAAAGTATTACTGGCAGTAGATTAGATTTGTAATATGATCAGTTATAAAGTAAGTGATTAATAATTTTGTGGACATACCATATAGTGTTACGTGTAAAAATTATAGAAGAAACCGTGAAGTCGATAAAAAATTTATAAAAATCTTGAACTTTATGTCTTTATGGTTATACCAATGTTATTTAAATTATCCTTACAATTAATATTTCATATTTCAAAAATACAACTACGTTCAAAAATGTGTTGAGATACACATGAGACGTTTGGAGTTGAAAATTCGATTACTTTTAGAATTTCAAATTTAATACTTCATGAAAATTGTAAAACAACATTAAAAACTTTAAAGTAATTAGGCATTTTTACAAANGTCTCATTAGCGATGTGTAAGACTGCGTCAGATTTATTTTGAATTTACCACTTACATAGTAATAGAGACATCTCATTTTTTTATGGCTTCTGAACCATCAATTTACAGCTAAAATAAGCACATAAGAAAATATTTTTTCCGAAGAGTAAACTATATTAGTTCTAAAAGTATTATGTAAATTTTTAATTTATGATGCTTTATATATAAGACATATGATAAAATCAAACTGTATGAAATCATTCTTATAACTCACAATACTTGTTACTTAATTGTAGTTATACAGATCTCAAAAATTTTTATAAAATTTTTAATGCCTACGGTGTGACTTCGATCGTTTTCACTGAATTAGTACTAAGAGATCAGTTGCATGATCCATCAGTCCATTTCGGTCATCCATGCGTCACCCACGGTTTTCTGATGTATGTATTAATAGTAGCAGATAAAGAAAAAGAGAGAGGGGTGATACAATTACACCCTCCCCACTTGTCACACCATCTCACGTACAATAACATGCAATACTTAAAGTCTCGTCAAAGAAACATACTCTGTATGTAATAGGATACCTATAATATTACACCGCGTCGCTCTCCGCGTCTCCAAGATTTCGTATGTATCTCTCTCGCCTCATTGGCTATGCGGTTGTTGAGACAGTATTCTGGGGTGCATTCGTTTGGCTAAAACTCTGCCCGTATTCAAGAGCTTCTTGCATGAACATCTATTAAACGAAGTAGATAGCATGGTATGAGGTTTGTTCTTGTGACACTTATAAACTGACAGTTAACTAAATTAAACTAAAATCGACTAATATTTGTTAAGTTTATACTAACCTGGCCAATTATTGTAATCACGCATTGTCAGATTTTTAGCAGGTTATCTGCGATTACACTGTATTTTTATTTTTGTATATTTAATGTGCTCATCTACGCCATTAATTTTGTAATAATTTACTGTAGTAACATTGTATATTTAATATTGTACTTTCTTAATCTCTTATTTTGGTGAGTTGCCGTTCGGGTGTTTCACCCTTGGCATAAATAAATACGTTTTTAATTAATCTCTCCGTATCTCTTTCTCTCTTTCTCTCTTTCCGCGACGTTAAGATATCGCATGTTCTTCCCTCCGCTAAACAAGGTTTCTAGTATTTCTCCTACCCACCTCACAAATACTTACCTGCAACACTTTGGCTTTGTCAAAGCAGACTCCTACCTCAGTGCTGGTTTTTTTTTTGATAGGCCAAAGAAAGTACTGCAAGAACTACTATTGTAGTATTTTAAAACTTTTTGGTATAATTATGTCATGGTTTGAAAATTTTTTTTAAAATTGCAAAATCTTAAAAAGTTGATTCATACACCTAAAAAAATGCCTCCTTTTGCTTACCTCCGATGGAGCTACGACTTTCTTTCCTGTTATCATGTAGCAAAAGTACCATACTTTTCCTCAAGTGGAAAATGTAAAGAAAGTCTCAGAACATCCGAGATTTGTCTTTCAAGACAAAGCCCTGGATGACAAAAGGACGATTTAAGGCTTTCTTACCTCCAGCCATAACTTTCATACGATTGTCTATGCCCTAGCTGAGAAGTGAATATTACCATTTTCGCAATGGGCAGGAATGTTATCTTTCTAAGCCACTGGCATGAAAAGTATTTTATTTTCTTCTGCACATTATTTGATATTTTCTCACCCTGTATGTAGTTTAAAACGTTTATTTTATTATATCGATCTTCTAGGACAAATAATATTAGAAATAACAACAATTGTTTCTATATGACGTTTTGTCGGCTGGTGTGCTGACCTCTTCAGGCTGTTTATTGAAAAATATTGTACATCACAATAATTGAGATTACTGATGAGAAAACACAGGTAAAAAAAAAAAAATAACCACAGATCATCAATTGTTTGACACTGAAGAAAACTTGATTACATTTATCAAGCAAACGGCTCGTACACAACTCAGACTGGCAATGGCCTCGTCAATTCGCAGTCTTTATATCAAATAAATGCAAATAGATACATGAGTCTGCTCTGATAACACATAAGTATATATAATAAATTTAGAAGGGTTTAACGACATAATTAAATATACGCGTGTACACTCACGTAACTAGAAACATAAAGATCTGAAAAATTGTTTATACATGTAGCTTTAGTTGTATAAATCTTCTTTCTTGTTAATATTATGCTTGTTGGAGATAATGAATAGCATTTCTGAAAATGAACGTTTTGTGTAGTTTGACTCTGACTTGCATACGAGTCGTTTGCTTAATACGTGCAAGTAAGTTTGCTTCAGTGTCTAACAACAAGTAATCTGTGGTTATTTGTTATTTTTTACCTGTGTTTCCTTATCAGTCATCTCAATTATCGTAATATACATACTATTTTTCAATAAACAGCCTGAAGAGGTCGGCACACCAGTTGATGAAACGTTGTATAAAAATAACTGTTTTCATTTTAAAAATTATGTACCCGAGAAGATCGAAATAATAAAATAAACGTTTCATCGTCTGCATACTTTTTTTTTTTCTAATTTCCGTTGTGTAGTATAATAAAACATTTTGATGAGGTCAACAAACTGAGTCGATAAATTGTTGAAGTATGAATAATAAATATTGTTTTATTCTTATTTACAATACTTAAGTTCCCTTCACGATCAACAAAATATTAATTTTAATCCGTTTCCCATAGTGTTATGAATCTAATAGTTTTCACCGATAGGAAACATTTTTAACCAGATAAAAATGCAGTTATAAATGAAGTCAGTGTAAATTCTTGGACTGGATGTGCAGTGAGTTAAGATGAAATACTCCGAAAGTAAACGACAATTGTTGTTTTGATACAGCAAATTTTTTCAATTTTGATATAAAAATATAGCAGTATGCCAGAAACTATTACATTAGGTTACGCAAGTATACAAAAGAATTTCACAGCTCTTATAAGCTATTTTTCATTCGTTTCAGTTTCTCTTAATATTTTACTGAATTCAATAATTTCGTTGTCTCGATACAACTTTCGTGCACTTTTAGTTCGTTCAAACTGAATTATAAGCATTGTATTTTATTTTACAGCTAATTTAATAGGCTGTCCGTAAAAACGACACTTTATTGATGTATTATTCTGAAAATGTCTCAACTAGTCTCATTAGCGATGTGTAAGACTGCGTCAGATTTATTTTGAATTTACCACTTACATAGTAATAGAGACATCTCATTTTTTTATGGCTTCTGAACCATCAATTTACAGCTAAAATAAGCACATAAGAAAATATTTTTTCCGAAGAGTAAACTATATTAGTGAAGGCTTGGATTGGAATTCGTAAAAACTTGTATTACTAAGCCCCTGATCTACAACTATGACCTATACCACTGTCTCTCTTGTACAGTATGAAATAAAAACTGTTATAATCCATTGCATAACTACTAAAATCAATAAGTTTTATCATCGAATATAATTTGTTGAAGAAGTGAAATGGACTATATAGGGCTTTACTGAAATAAAAAATAAATAAAAATAACTGTAAAAAACTCGTGTGCCTTACTTAAAAACTGTTGATTATCATTATCCTTTTGTAGATAAATAAAGGAATAATGGTACCTATATTGGCAGCTCTTGTCACCTTCTAATTAACACACTTCCTTAAGACATCTTGTGGATGTCTGAGAGACTTCCAATTACCATCTGATAGATATCTTACGGAAATTTTACCCTTAACTATATCTTTCTGATCGACATAAGAAGTCTCAATACATCTACAAGAGTCTTGAAAAAATACGATAATTGGGGTGATACTGATTAAGGTTCCATACGTTCTAATTATATTAATTAATGTTATGGGTAGGTAGTGTAATACATAAGTCTAAAAAAATGTATCATTTACGTGACTGTTTGATTTCAACTTTTAAGAGATTAAAAATTTAACAATTGTATTAATATTTAATTATACGTAAAACTTAGATCAAATTTTTTTTAGGTGGCAGCCACAGTACCCTTCAAGACATTAAAGTGTCAGAAAAAGCTGGAGGATACGCTTATAAAGATGCTTCAAAGTACTTTACTAGGAATCGATTTATTTGCTGGCATATTGGGCCAAATTTTTTGGAACTAGTTGAACATAGTTTTGACCTGACGCTCATTCACAATAGAATCAAATACAAACTAAGCGAGACACCATTACTAGAAAGCATTTCTATTCATGAAACTAATGATTCAGTAATAATTCTTATGGTTACCCTGTCAAGTGTGCTTAAATTATCTTTTCCTCATCCGAGAACAGTTTGCAAAGAGGTATTTAAAATACTATGTTTACTATTTATGCTTTTACCACTTTTATACATATGCAGACGTGATAAAGAAACATGTGGACTTTTAAGTCAACATTCTCATTAAAAAAAATGTTGATATAACTTTTTCGTACTTGAAAGTTGGTTTTTCAAGTTTTTAATAAGTCAAAAACAAAAAAAAAAAACAAAAATACACACGTAAAAATTTGTTTATCTAGATTTATAAATAGCGTTTGATCATAATCATGGGTGGAAAAATAAGAAATATATAGGTGCCATACAAAAATACGTACGAAAACAAGGACAAGTCTAAAAAAAAGTTTTTTAATATAAATTAATCTACTCTCATTAATTAAATGTTGACGTAGTTGTAGGGGTGCTTGAGTTCTCTACGAATTTCTACCTCCCTTCTATAAAAAAAAAATATATATATATACATATATATGTACATATGTTTGTTTTCTACGTTATTTTCATTGGGTTATTGCGTTGTTAAGTTACATGTTCCTATCTACACTAGAAAGTAATTGTACACTGCACAAAAAGTATTACTCCTATAACATAGTAATCTAATCTTACTAAATTTATCTGTCTTACTATCAAATTAATTATTTTTTGAATTTCAGAAGAATGTAAGTTTTTAATATAAAGCGATTTCATAAGATGTTAATTTTTTTTTAATTTGATGATCTTAAAAGAAAAATATTTACTTAACTGTGTGACCATAATTATTTTTTCTTGCATTCTTGTTCGTGCAACTACATTCTTAAGATTTGTTAATAAGTATCTGATGCAAAAGGACATTATTTTCTTTTTAAAATATAATTTAATAACGAAGAATGACCAAAAAAGATATAATTTAAAACAATTTTGAGCGCTTACTCATTAAAAAATTATGTAAGTCGTTTACTAAGATTCCAACATCAAATTTCGATTTTAAATAGTAGATCCAAGATGACAGGCATTGTTTTACTAACTGTTGATCTATTTCAGCTAAATTCTGTGCGTCGGGATTTTCGAAATTGCTAACTACGATTCCGTATTTGATTTCCAAATCAAATACGTCTGATCCGTTATGGGAGAGTCTGTTGAAGTATTGAGCTTATTTATCCAGATCCAATAAATAATCTGCAATGCTTGATATTTATTCGGTTAATGTCAGCTGTGGTCTACGATGAATATTTTATATCAAAAAATAGGAGTTTTCTAATTGTTAACTTACTAAAGGTATAGTTTTCTCAGTTTCTGGACATTTATTGCATTTGTAACATTGAGACGTTGGATAAGAATTGATCATTTTTTCTTTATGAAGTTCATAATTAAATAGACGGGTACTTATTTTTTCAGTCCACTTTGATATATAATGAGCTTGTTTTTGTTCTGTTGTGTGATCTTTATTTTTTATAGGAAACAAAGGTTTTCTTTAATGGCATGATTAGACTGTACAAATTGTCATTGTAAAATTCTTCAACAACTTTAATAGTTTCACTTGAAACTCTATTCATCGAACTCAGCCCTTTAGACATTTTAACTAAATATCTTGAAGAACAAAACTCCCTAGCAAGCTTTCTCGTGCTCCATGAATTTAAAGCAGTTGTAAAAATTGTGAGTCTTAAAGAGTTATTTCTATCTATACTTAAAATTTAAGTCTTAAGCCCGTCTAACATTTACTCTAGATAAATTTCTCTTTAGGATTATACTTCTGATTGCATTGAAGCTCTACAATAGAGGTTGTATTTATTATTGGATATACGAGAATTATTATTTAACGAATCAACAGAAATACTTGTATAGGCCCTTAGATAGATTTTCCCATATGATTAAAATTAAAATTACAAGCTTTTTTTGAAGCCACACAAATTTTCGAGTCAGACTGTCCTACAGCAAATTGGTTTGTTAGTCCAATAAAAATCGTACTAAGATATGTTCAATGATGATTGTTTTCATAAGGTTTTCTAAACAAATCCATGATGCGATTAACGCATTAATAAACATCTTAAGACATAGCACTCAATGTTGAAGAAAAATGACATTCCAGATAGTTACTGTCGCTACTTATTTGTTAATAAAACACCACAAAAATTGATCGAAACTTGATGTACTATCCTATAAAAAGACTGTTGATTATCAACCAACAATTTTGTTATTAAACCCGGAAGTTAATCATATTAGATGTCTTTAAAAGTACTATCATTCAGAATGTATGGATGTTGGTAGGTATCTGAAACCTAATTTAACGTCTTAGTAAAAGGCAACTTTGTGTCGGAAATTTTACCAAATCTCGTACTTATGTTCTTTTATGAGTATTTGTCCTCAGAATAAGCCAACCACCAAACTAGCCATGCGTTACCCAGAGGACAAACGTAATTAATTAGAATTTTTCTTATACTTCTTGTAAATGCAACTTATCCTAATCAATGGTGATGAAATTAAGTACTAGACGTTCTTATGATTTGTTAATTATGACCCCAAGATCAGAGTTCATAAATTCAAAATGAAGAATGAAATCTACGAAAGACACAAAATTCTTATCAAATATGGTAAGCAGGGGTATCGAGGTTACTGGTTTTGACTTATAGATCTGACTTACAAAATTCAAGCACTAATAGGGTGGACATAAGTTAATGTTTCTATAAGAAAACGTTTGACGTCCTAAATCCGTCATCTTTAATTTAAAACCTCAGCGCATATTCGTTCTCAGAGACCTCAGACTCTTTGAGTTGATAAATTTTGTCGAAATCGTTCAATAATAAACAAATATCCGTCCACGATTTTCGATCTTCAACCTCATATCTTAAATCTGATAGTGGATTTTTGTTTAGCGATCCCTAGGGTATATTTAATGCATAATTTGGTTAAAATTAATGATGAATTGTAAGTTTTTTTATTATTTTCGACTGAAAAATTGCAGTTATTGCGAGATGCTTCACTTGAGACAGTTTTCACAGGGATTGGGTGATTTAAAAAAGAATTAAAAAATAACACGTATGAGGTGTGATAAAAAACGTAAGGTGACATTTTATTTTATTTTTTAATATTTATTTATTTAATATTTACATTGTCCACTTAAACGTATTCTCTCTCAGATTTTATACACTTGTACGAGAATTTTTTCTAATCTTCGAAGCACTTTTTAGTAAAGCCTTAAATTATTTAAGACTTTATCTCCGTGATTGTTGCAAATCTCCGTTCTTTCAGAGGTTTGGATTTTGGTAACAGGAAAAAGTGGCACATAATTTATAATGGGTTAATACTGAAGCTGTGGCAGCATTACCGTGTTTTTTTGCCGAAAATTTACTATTAGGCTACTGCTTAGCTATGTGTGAGCAAGTAGCTTAACACTTTTAAAAGAAAGTTTATTGATGTCTTTTTATAACCAAAGCATCCGTTTAAAATGCTTGGTGAGAACTAAATGAGATATTAAGATGATTGGTTACTTTTCGAATGGTAATTCGACGGATTGTCAACACTATTTTCGTCACTTTTTAAATGTTTTTATCTATTGACGAGCCTAGGCATCTAAAACGAATTTATGATAAACATCTTCTCGAAAAACTTTTACTCAATTTTTTTTTTTTTTTTTACTTTACAACAGAAAATCATGAAATATGTAAAACGCTTTTATCCGCTGTTTCTCTTACACATAAATAAACATTTTTTACGTGATTAAAACTGCGAACATTGGTTCACAATAAACTAGTAGTGTGTATTAAGATATTAAAACTGATGTAACATCTGTACAACTCTTCTATGAAATAACTTTATTAATAGAATAAGGGTTACATACAAAAATGTGTATACAAACATTTTAACCTGTGTCTTTTCTATTCCTACGATTTGTGCTTGATGGTCAGGTTACCAGCCACGATCGTAGGGATGTTAAAGTCAAATAGCAAGATGAGGCAAGATATATTATAATTAACCTTGAGAAAAGTAGGAGGTGGTATTTTTTATGATGACTGAGGAACTGGCATGTACTCTGACTCCAACTGCTTTTTAGTAAGTAGTATACGTACTGATGCACAGTGGGGCCAATCGCCAAAAATCTTGCCAAAAATCGAAAAATCAAGTAAGTGATCTGGAATTACCTCCTCGGGGGTTTTTTGGGTCGCTGATTACGAATTTAGTGTCACATCGACAAAAAGTTACCCCCTTGCATAAAATATCCCTTATTTCATAACGCAATCAAGTTTCATGATGTTTTCAAGGTTTTTTGGGTAGCTGATTCCGAATTCAATGTCACATCGACAGAAAGTTACCTCTTTCATCCCCTAGTCACCACCCCCTTGCAGTTATTTCATGATGCAATTAAGTTTAATGTTGTTTTCAAAGTTTCTGGAGTTGCTGGTTACGAATTTGATGTCATACCTTCAATAATTTGATACTGTTTGCCAGTGAGATACAATTTTTTATTTTTTCATTTATTAATAATGCTCTTAATTCTATTGTTATAAAAAGAAATTTATTTCATCATCTGTGGAATTTTCAGTTGTATCGGTTGTTGCACCTTCCGTGGTCGATGAATCCTCCCACAACTCTCTTTCATTATGCATAGTCACGGATGACTGTAATAGTAGCTGAACAACATCCTCTGACAAAGATTTTATCGGCCTTGCGGGCAATTTTCGACCACTCGAAATAAGTGGATCTGAAAAAACTAAAAATCGGTTGAAGATCTCTTGCATAGTCTTTGCTCAGAAGACTAAGACTTTGAAGAAAAGTTTTCACAGAATTTTTTAAAGTACTTATTGCACGACTCTTGAGCATCTTCAGACATTTGTCCTATTGGTAGTAGAATATGTCCTAAGGGCGTGAGATATGATGCTTGAACCATGAATAAATATTTTGTGAGCTGTAGTTGGCATGTAGTACCACGGATATAGATAAACGAATTCCCTTGAAGTCTTCAGACAGTATTTCTCGAATTTTTCAGTATCAACGTCATGCCCCGATGATGAAGTTTGTAAAATTACATAAAACTTATAGATTATACTTTGGTCAACG